CTTACTTACAATTACTAGTATTTACAGAAAATAATGTCTTAGAATAACTTGACATCTTTGTTAACTGTACAAAAGTTATGTCCTTTATTTTTACTTTCTACCCGCAAAGGCAATAACAAAAGTGTCATCATCTTGTTCAAGCCTCCATGGATCACGCGAATCCATTCTGCAGAACAAGAGTTAAAAGTTTGTGAGTCCTCATATGTTAGCAACCAAACAAGAATCAAAAGTTTCAACAATGGTTCTTTACCTCCAATTGTGACAAGTTTTTTGACTCGGAAACGATATGTTTACCGTAGGTATATCTCTTCAAAGCAGTTAAAGGGAACCTTGATGCGAGAAAGAATCAACTCCAGACTTGTGATCATCACATGTTTTAAGAACCTTTTGCACAACATAATTTTCAAATGCTTCTTTCATCATTGCCTGCATTTAGAGGTTACTGTTCATTATTCATTTGTGTTTCAAATGTACAATAGGTTTAAATTAAATTCAACAATAATTACACTAAACTGGAGTGATATTAATCATAATAAATTTTTCTTTTGATCTTAACACTGATCAGAATTCTCAAGGAACAAAATATACATGAAGACAAGTGAAAGGCTTTTATCTAGATAATATTTAATGAAATCATACAAATAATTTACTAAATATAATAAAGAAAAGTCCGGCACAAACCTGCAAAGGTTCATTTTCGATCTGTATAACCAAGCATCTCTTTCACCAAAGGTTAATATTCACCAAGAATTTCCTCTTGAGTAAAGATCCGCAAAGGAGGAAGTTCTCTTAGGAATATTAATTTGTCCATTGGAACCCATTATAGAAGAATTGAGGTTTGGTACCATTCCATTTTTCCTCAATAATCCACCATACTTGGCAGAATATGGGAGATTTTCAGAAGAAGAATCCTCTACGATTTGCTGGAGACTGCATTTTTTATCATTGGCTATGCTTGATATAACATCAGGTTGACTGTCGAGATTCATCTGAAGCTTTGACTGTACAAGACAATTTTCATTTACTTGTCCAGTTTTTGACGAGGCCAAGCCAGACAAAGAGGCTGCAATTTCAGTAAGTTCAGTTTCAGTTGCACCAGCAGAATGACCATTTTGAACACTTGAGCCAATAGCATTCTTCTTTTCAGTAGCTCCAACTCTGCTCCCCACAGGAGGAAGACCAGGACCAAGAGATTTCCCAACTAGCTGGTTTGGGGGTCGTACTCCTTGATAATGATGAACCTACAGCAGATGCCAACAAATGGGAATCAGTTGTGCCATGGCTCTGAACTCCCATCCACGCAGGGGCAGCTGCTCCAGAGTGCAATGTCTCTACAGCCTGCAATCCATTACATAACCCAGCTGAATGGAAATCAGATACACCAGTTGTATCTACCATATCACGAAATGAGTTACAACTTGAAGGGCGTGATGGGTGGCCTGGTAAGGATGCATTTCGATCCACTCCTCCCTAAGATTACATGCTCATATTAGTGTAGGTATTAGAAACTAAATCTTAGACATAATATCTAATGGGATGAGCAAGATGCTGATTTGCCAAAGCATATGAGGGCAACTCAATTATAACCACTACCATTGAAATAAACTAAACAACATAAAGCCAAGTCCATAAAGATTATATAAAATGTAGGACCCATATCGATTACGGGAACAATGTCAGCGAAACTCTTTCTCCTTGCACCTAGACTAGTACCAGATAATCCAACAGAATCATCTGAGCCTCTACCAAACCATTCGGCTGACATATTCCTGGAAAGAGTGCTCGTACTAGAATTCCTCATTTCCATTCCATTTGATCATTCTCTACTTGTTGCACAGAGAGTCCAGGCAGCATCACAGAGTGATGAGCTATCAGCACCATCCACCTTTTTCCTCCAGTCTTCAAAACTGCTAACAGAAGACCCTCCTGCCTGAAACCTTTGTGCAACACACCTAAGAGCGCAATTTAAGCACAAATTCTGAAGGCTTGAATTAATAAAAGCGGATATGTTTTTTTATCTATACATTTGGTTCAATTTCCATTCAAGTACTTGTTATAGTTCTAATTTTCATATCAGTCTTATTATGTATGATTAAACTACAAATTGTTGTGTTTACCTTACTATCACCACCATCTTGAATTTCTTGATATAAATTATTATTTTGGGCAGAAGTGCATTACAACTCAATATATCCAAGAGGAGTTAAAACTTTTAATCCTCGAATCCTTGCTTGATAAGCCTAGTGAAAAACGTTTTGAGATTTAGTTATAATAAAATAAATAATTTAAAAACTACAATAAAATTACCAAAATTACCAATTTATGTTTGAATGCACACTAAACAAAATTGATTTAAACAAAATACTCTAAATCAAATTCCAATCATCATTTATCATTTTCTTTTAAAAGAGGTGAGTTTGTCAGAACTTTAGTTACAAAATTTTGATTTGAAAAATAAATTTAGTAAATAAACGATGACTTGTAAGTTAAATTCAAATCCTTTTTTTTGATACAACGCAATAAAAATAATTTCTAAATGAGGTCACACAGTGAGTATAACTTAATCTGAATCGACTCAAACCTCCAATCTTTTTGAGAAAATCTATGAATTTGATGCTAAAGAAAAAATCTATAAACCACATCTAAAGGCATATTCCCAACCCGAGAAATATTTTCAAGATGGAAAAAATAAAGACATGTGTACAATCCGATGAAGAGAGGTGTCGCCACTGTCAACAGATGTTTTATATACAAAAATATTCTTGAAACTTGCAACCACATTCTCCTTGGACATTCTATTTCAAACAATCTGTGGTCTACCGTTCTCGGTCTACTGGGACTGTCGTGGGTCAAGAATGAATCAATCATCTCTGAACTCCTTGTATGGGAAGGCATTTATAGCAAAATGAAAAATATTAGACTCATCTCTCTCCCTACTTTTTGGGTCATTTGGAAAGAGAGAAACAACCATACTTTTGAAGGAAAAGAAGTAGATTTTAGCAACATCATAGATAATTGGTTTCACTATTTTGTCTCCATTGTCTTGGGACATAATATTGACTGCTATGACGATCTAGGATTCATTGTTAATATACTAATCGATATGTGAACTTTTTGTACAATGACGATGCCCCCTTGGCACCCTTACTTCAATGCACATCTAACACTTTCATTTCAAAAAAAAAATCCAATGAATACTTTCAAGAGGGAAAAAAATTACAAAGATTAAAAGAAATAAGATATGCTAATGATATGTACAGGAGAAACAAAGAATTCATTTGATGCCTGTGACTGTGGTGTCCTCTTTTCCATAATACCAGATGCAAAAAAACAAACAGAAGAAATCCAATCCTCTGGATAGACACCACTGTTGTCCAACCTTAAAGTTATGAAATCCAAACAACCTCTTCAACTCGTGACCACTGAATTCATGCTTCTAAGAATCTACTAGCCTAGTAACTTGTAATTATCACCCTCAATGAGCAATCGAACTAGTTTATCAGCGACCACCATTTTATCTTTTTCTTACCCTCTAACACTGGTAGTTCTGGATATAATACGACATAAAGACGAAATCCCAATGATTTACACAAATAATATTTGGATATGTAATCTTTCAGTTGGGAACTTTGGATATGTTACAATGATTCGTGCAAGGATTCATGGATGTAAAAGTTTTACCTCCTTCTGTAAGTATTGAATTGTAATGTACATCCGCCCAAAAGCTCAAGCAAATAACTGCACATTACACAAAAATTTCTATTTTTAGCATCTGCGTCAATATAACAACATAACGATGCCTTCAATTTCCATATGACGGCAGTCTGCAGTCCTTCTTAACTGTTTTAAATCAAGTTGGCAATATAAAAATGGAA